GCATATGTTTGTATTTTTAATATTTTTTTCCTGTAGTTGACATCTAATCATATCACATTGTGATCAGAAAAGATGCTTGAAATGATTTCAGTTTTTTTGAATTTACCAAGGCTAGATTTATGGCCCAGGATGTGACCTATCCTGGGGAATGTTCCCCGTTCACTTGAGAAAAAGGTGAAATTCATTTTTGGGGGGTGAAATGTCCTATAGATATCAATTAGGTCTAACTGGTTCATTGTATCATTTAAGTTTCTGTTTCTGTTTCCTTGCTAATTATCTGTTGGATTGTTCTAGGTGTGACTGGGGTATTAAAGTCTCCCTCTATTATTGTGTTACTGTTAATTTCCCCCTTCATACTGGTTAGTATTTGCCTTACATACTGTGGTGCTCCTATGTTGGGTGCATATATGTTTATAATTGTTATGTCTTCTTCTTGCATTGATCCTTTAATCATTATGTAGTGTCCTTCTTTGTCTCTTTTCATGACCTGTATTTCAAAGTCTATTTTATCTGATATGAGTATTGCTACTCCTGCTTTCTTTTGGTCTCCATTTGCATGAAATATCTTTTTCCAGCCCTTCACTTTCAGTCTGTATGTGTACCTTGTTTTGAGGTGGGTCTTTTGTAGACTGCATATATAGGAGTCTTGTTTTTGTATTCATTCAGCCAGTCTTTGTCTTCTGGTTGGGGCATTCAACCCATTTACATTTAAGGTATTTATTGATAAGTATGATCCCATTGCCATTTACTTTGTTGTTTTGGATTCGAATTTATAAACCTTTTCTGTGTGTCCTGTCTAGAGAAAATCCTTTAGCATTTTTTGAAGAGCTGGTTTGGTGGTGCTGAATTCTCTCAGCTTTTGCTTGTCTGTAAAGCTTTTGATTTCTCCTTCATATTTGAATGAGATCCTTGCTGGGTAGAGTAATCTGGGTTGTAGGTTTTTCTCTTTCATCACTGTAAGCGTGTCCTGCCATTCCCTCCTGGCTGAAGAATTTCTGTTTAAAGATCAGCTGTTATCCTTATGGGAATCCCCTTGTGTGTTTTTGTTGCTTTCCCCTTGCTGCTTTTAATATTTGTTCTTTGTGTTTGATCTTCATTCATTTGATTAATATGTGTCTTGGGGTGTTTCACCTTGGGTTTATCCTGTTTGGGACTCTCTGGGTTTCTTGGATTTGGGTGAATATTTCCTTCCCCATTTTAGGGAAGTTTTCAACTATTATCTCCTTGAGTATTTTCTCATGCCCTTTCTTTTTTTCTTCTTCTTCTGGGACTCCTATGATTCGAATGTTGGGGCATTTAACCTTGTCCCAGAGGTCTCTGAGGTTGTCCTCAAAATTTTTTTAATTCTTTTTTCCTCTCTGCTTCATTTATTTCCACTATTCTATCTTTCACTTCACTTATACTCTCTTCTGCCTCAGTTAATCCACTGTTGGTTCCCTCCAGAGTGCTTTTGATTTCAGTTATTGCATTATTCATTATTGATTGACTCTTTTTATTTCTTCTAGGTCCTTGTTAAAGATTTCTTGCATGTACTCAATCCTTGTCTCTAGTCTATTTAACTCCCATTTTGTTTTCAAAATTTTGGATCATCTTTACTATCATTCTGAATTCTTTTTCAGGTAGACTCCCTATCTCCTCCTCTTTTGTTTGGTTTGGTGGGCATTTATCATTTACCTGCTGAATATTTCTCTGCCTTTTCAATTTGCTTAGATTGCTGTGTTTGGGGTGGCCTGTCTGTAGGCTGGACGTTTGTGGTTCCTCTTTATTGTGGAGGCTGCTCCCTTGGGTGGGGTTGGACCAGTGACTGGTCAAGGTTTCCTGGTTAGGGAAGCTTGCGTCTGTCTTCTGGTGGGTGGAGCTGGATCTCTTCTCTCTGGAGTGCAATGAAGTGTCCAGTAATGACTTTTGGGATGTCTATGGGTTTGGTGTGACTTTGGGAAACCTGTATTTTAATGCTCAGGGCTGTGTTCCTGCCTTGCTGGAGAATTAGTATGTCTTTCTCTGGAACTTGTTGGCTCTTGGGTGGAGCTTTGTTTCAGTGTAGGTATGGAGGCTTTTGGATGAGCTCTTGTCAATTAATGTTCCCTGGAATCAGGAGTTTTCTTGTGTTCTCAAGTTTTTAATTTAAGCCTTCTGCCTCTGACTTTCAGTCTTATTCTTACAGTAGCCTCAAGATTTCTCCATCCATACAGCACAGATGATAAAATATCTAGGTTAATGGTGAAAAGAGTCTCCACAGTGTGGGACACCAAGAGAGGTCCACAGAGTTACATGAAGAAGAGAAGAAGGAGGAGGGAGATGGGGTGACCAGGAGGAGAAGAGGGGGAGTCAAAAGGGTAGAGACCAATCTAGCCAGTAATCATGTCCCTAAGTGTTCTCCACAGCCCAGAACGTCCAGAGAGATTCACAGATTTAAGTAGAGAAGAGAAGGGGGACGGAGGAGATAAGAGGTGACCTGGGGGAGAAAAACAGGAGAGAGCAATCAAGCCAGTAATCACACCCCTAAGTAAAAATGGGTACTGAAGATTAGATTCTTAAAGGTACAAAATGGATAACAAATACCAAAAAGCAAAGATTAAAAATCTAGAGTAGAGGTTAGACTCTCAATAATACAGTATTAAAAATACAAAACAAAATCAATCACAAAACTTACAAAATATATATATATATATATGAAATTCACTTTAAAAATAGGGTCTTTTTTGCAAGGTAATAGTAGGTTACAAAAATGAAAATTAAAGAAGTGATAAAGAACTTAAAAATTTTAAAAATGATAATAATAAAAATATATCTAGCAATTTCTCTGGGACGGTTGTGGGCAGTGTGGGGTCAATTCAGTTTCAGATAGTTCCTTGTTCCAGGTTATACTTCTTCTCAAGGTCTATATAGAAGACCTTCTCTATAGAGAAGACCCCTTCCAATGCTTAGTCAATGTTAACTACAGGGTTTTAATCTGTTGCACCTGTCACTTCCAGAGTGATTCCCCCTTCTTTGTGTATTTTGGCTTCCTTAGTTTGCAAGTCTCTTCAGTGTCTAATTTCTGCCCTGACACAAGGGGGCGAAGGTGGTCACTTATTTAGGCTCCCTTGTTCAGCTGTGCTGCGGGGAGGGAGGAACCCTGCAAACAAACATCACTGGCGTGTGTGGGAGTGCTCGCAGTGTATGGACCACACTGGGTTTGCCCCCTCTCACAGCGGTCTGTGCTTTCCCAGCCTACACTGCTCAGGCTCTGCTGGGGTACTGTCCAAAGTGGGCCCTGCGTTTTGTGCACTTCCCAGGTTTAAGCTGCTCCAGTTCGGGTTCTTGGATACTCTGCAAATGCACAGACTTGGTTGGGCGTGCGTTTTGTGCCCTTCCCAGGTCCAAGCAGCTCAGGTGACCAGGTGCTTGGTGCGCACACTGCCCCAGGTGGACCGTGTGTCTTAATCACCTCCCCAGTCCTGGCACTCGGTTTCCCAGGTGCGCCACAAGAACACTGTCACAGGTGTGCCATGTGCCTCCTCTGGGGAGCTGATCTCCGGCTGTGACCCTCCTGGCAGATGTCAACCGTCCAGGATCCCAGGAAGACTTGGTTAGCAACTGGGAGCCTGCTCACAGTTTGGTGGAGGATGCCGCCTCTGGGACCGAGATTGCCCCTTGCCTTCCGGCTCTAGCTGTCACTCGCCTGCCTCTCTGCCTCTGGTGGGGGGAGGGGCCTGTCCACAGCCAGCTAGCTCTCCTTTGATATTCGCTCAATCCTTTGTTCTGTGAGTGGGTCAGGCTGCACCTTATGTTAGAGCTTTACACAGGAAAATTCTCTCTTTTTTTCTCTCTCTCTCTCTGGCTATCCCACAGTTTGGGTTGCTATCTCATGTTAGCTCCCTCAGATTGTCCTCAGGGCATTCAGGTCTGGTCCTTACCCTAAGCATGCAACCTGCGGCTTCCTGTCCAGCCCCGGCTAGCTGGTGGTGGACACAAGCGTCTGGGCTACTTCTCCACTGTCAGTTGCGGCTAGGCACCTATTTTGTGGATTTTTTTTTCTCCCATTTATGTTGCCCTCTGAGTTTCCAAAAGTCCCCACAGATCCGCTGGTGAGAAGGTGTCCTGCTGTTTAGAAACTTCTCCTCCTTCATGACTCCCTCCCCAGAACGGGTCTCCATCCCTAACTCTTTTGTCTCTCTTTTTGTCTTTTATATTTGTCCTACCTCCTTTCGAAGAGAATGGGCTGCCTTTCTGGGTGCCTGGTGTCCTTTGCCAGCGTTCAGAAAGTTGTTTGATGGAAGTTGCTCAGCAGTCAAATGATCTTTTGATGAATTTGTGGGGGAGAAAGTTGTTCTCCCTGTCCTATTCTTCCGCCATCTTAGGATCGCCCTCCCCTCTTCATTACTGTTAAAAGCTAAATTATAATTACTTTTTAAAGTTAAATGTAGGACTTTACTGTTAAAAATCACCTGATCATTTCAGTCCAATATTCAGTTTTGTTGAAATCATTTCAAATACTGTTTTTACCATTGATAGTATTAGAAATTCAAAGCTAATAGGTGTCATCTCCTAGTTAAATATAGTCCCAGGTGGCACTAGTGGTAAGAACCTGCCTGCAAATGCAGGTAGACACGAGACACAGGTTAGATTCCTGGGTCGGGAACATCCTCTGGAGGAGGGCATTGCAACCCAGTCCAGTATTCTTGCCTGGAGAATCATATGGACAGAGGAGCCTGGTGGGCTATGGCCCATAGAGTCACAAAGAGTCACACTGAAGCAACTTAACACGCATGCACACCATCCCAGAAACTCAATGGTTTTATTGGAAATGTGCAGATGATATTAAAGAGGAATTTAAGGAATATGCATTATGCATGAATTAAAACTATTATCTCTGCTTTGTTATTTATATACCTAAATTAGAACAGAAAAGTCAGAGAGCCTAAAGGAAAATTCCTCTGTTATCTTATCATACTTAATCATTAAATGGCCACAATCAGTGATTAGATATAAATATTATAAATTTTTTTTGCTTATAGATTTGTAAGTCAAGGAGTTGATGACTGGTACTACCAACAGTTTTCCCTATGGGTGCTGTCTCATCCAGGACAAGTGGTACTCACTGTGGTAAGTAAATACTTCTTTGATGTTACTGGTATATGTAACTCTGAACTGCATCAAAAAATAAAATGGAGAGATGGTTGACTCAATGGACAGATATCTGACAAAGTAAATATTAGCAAAACGTTTATTAAGGAACATAAGTGATAGGTATATGGGTATTCATTTTATAATTTCTTCAACTTGTCCATGCTTTTAAAAATGTTCAGGATAAAATGTTGAAGGAATGTAACTCGTGAATTATTTTGTTGTTTGTTGTTCAGTCATGTCTGAATCTTTGTGACCCCATGGACTGGAGTCCAGCAGACTCCTCAGTCCTCCACTGTCTCTGCAAGTTTGCTTAAACTTGTCCATTGAGCAAGTGATGCTATCCAATCATCTCATCCTCTGTTGCCCCCTTCTCCTCCTGCCAACAATCTTTCACAGCATTAGAGTCTTCTCCAATGAGTTGGCTTTTTGCATCAGATGGCCAAAATATTGGAGCTTCAACTTCAGCATCAGTACTTCCAATGAATATTCAGTGTTGATTTCCTTGTCTTTCACTTGCCTGAATATTAATAAAGTACCCTCAGATCTTAAGTCAAGGACTTATTCAAGCTGTTGTTTATGAAAACAACAAAATTATAATTAATCAATATGCACATTTCTGCAGTTTACTAGGCATTCAAATAATCAAATCTGCTCTACTAAGAAAGGATATTTCCCAAACCCCTGGTCTTCCAAACATGCTTAATAATTAGAAGCAGTCAGTAATCTTGTTTCCAAAAATATTTTATGATAGATTTCAACTTCACTCACTGAACGTATTTTTGTTTTCCCATGTCTGCCTTACCTACTGCAAATTACCCATCCTGGTATGCAATTTACAACTTCCCTTCCTCTTGTAAACACTTCTACATATGTAACCTAACTAGGAACTATCTCTGAGTGGACACCTGTTGGGATAATAAAATGTTTACATGCAGTATCCACTAAGAGAATTTCAATATAGATTTAATCAAACTATAGTGGTTGAGAAGTCCTCTATGTTTAGCTAAATAAATAGATAAAATCTAGTTCCTGGTCAGTTTTACCGTATCCAAACCTTCCCTCAGCCTACACTGAGGCAGCCTCAGAGGTGGTCTCAGCCCGCTGGTTGCTCTCTCCTGAGGCTGTGAATCTTGAATAAACACCTCAGGTGTGACAGTACAGTGACTTTTGACCAGACTCTTCTGTGGCATGACCATGACTATGGTTCCTGATGCCTGGCCCAGGTTCTTGCTTCTGCCCGCTTCCTAAGTCTCAGCTCTCACCTCCAGCTGATCTGCTGTTAGAGGTCTACAACATGCTTTTGGGAAGTCAGAGTTAGTTTCTGTTGCATGCTGCCAAAACACTAATTGATACATCAAGTTTCCCATCTGGGTACACTAGATAAGTGTCTTGGAAAGAAAAAAATCTCACCATTCTACATATTACCTCTATGCTAATTATTCTCATATTTATTTCTTCATAGCTCCTCTTGTGTATTTCTTGAGAGTGCTAAGTCACTTCAGTTGTGTCTGACTCTTTTTAAACCCATGCCAGGCTCCTCTGTCCATGGGGATTCTCCAGGCAGGAATACTGGAGTGGGTTGCCATGCCTTCCTCCAGGGGATCTTCCTGACCCAGGGTTAAAACCCACATCTTTATGACTCCTGCATTGGCAGGCAGGTTCTTCACCTGGGAAGCCCATGTATTTCTTAAGCACTTCAAATTCAGTATATCCCAAATGAATCCATTGTGTCCCTTCACCTACAGCATGCTGTTCCTTCAATAGGTATAATATCTTAGTGACTAGAATCACAATTCACCTAATTACAGGCCAGAAACCTATGAACCTCCTGACATATCTCCCTCCATTAAGTGCTAGGTCAATTTGACTTAAATCCAGTAGCCTTTTTAAAACTGCTCTGGTATGTATGGAAAGAGTGACAAAAGATGGATCAAATAATAGAAGTTATATAAAGTTCCTAAAAATTACAAACTTAACCTATTTCTTAACCTATTAAAAACAGAAGTAATTTAATCTTGGAATTATGATACCGTTATTACTGTCCCCAGGTTCTTACTTAGCCTAAGTGATGATAGATTAAGAATATAAAATTTAGAAAATATAAATGTTGGTGATAAATATGTTTCCATTATTAAAGAATAAGGCTCCCACAAGCATTCATCAACGTTCAATCTCTAAGCATCAAATGCATACAAATGTGTAAGCTCTCTTTTACACACATATGATGATTCATGCATAATACACACCACATATCACTGTTCAGTCTCAGTCGTGTCTGACTCTTTGCAACCCCATGGACAGCTGCATGCCAGACTTCCCTGTCCTTCACCATCTCCCAGAGCTTGCTCAAACTAATGTTCATTGAGTCGGTGATGCCATCCAACCACCTTGTCCTCTGTTGTCCCTTTCTCCTCCTGCCTTCAGTCCACACCACACCACTCTTGAGAATATCTATTGTCATTTATAAAATTTATGCTTCAAAATTATTACTTTTGTATCTTATTTTTTCAGAGCAAGATCATATTTTATAACGATTGTATCAAAAGTTTTGTGAGTTCTCATCCAAAAAAAGAGGTGGAAAAAGTCCATGCTGGTATGATACATAGTCTAGAAGAGGTTGCAGAGTTGGTGGTGCTGGATACTCACAACTCTCGAGCAAAAGTTGTACTAGGGGCATTGCTTACCCTGTATGTTCACTGCAGAGACATAGTGAGAGATTTACTACTCAAAAGTATTTTCAATGCAGATGATTTTGAGTGGACAAGGTAGGTAGATAGAAATTACAACTCTAAATAAAGTAAATTCCCATATACCTATCTCAGGTAAGTTAATTCTCTACCTCGAATTTTGTCCGACCTGAGTTTTATCTCTCTGGGATTTATAGAAATTCTAAGCAAATTCCGCCAACTTGAGTACTTATTTCTGTGCTTTCTTCCTCTTTTCCACTGTTCTTCTCCTTCATTTTAAGTTCTTTTTGTTTTATCTTCCTGAATTGACCACACTCCTCTTAGCTGCGTTTTCCCCCTTTTACCAGTCAGGCAGAGGGCAGTTTTCAATGGGTAGTGAAAGAAGCTCTACCTCAAGCCTCTTCTTTCCCCCACGTGCTGTCAGTTCTGGGACAGACCAAGCTGGAAACAAACCAGAGAACATTTCTAGCCAGTTCTCTAACTCAGAACTCCCTTCTTCCTAAAAAGTGCAAGTCGCTCAGTCATGTCCGACTCTTTGCAACCCCCATAGACAGTACAGTCCATGGAATTTTCCAGGCCAGAATACTGTAATGGGTAGCTATTCCATTCTCCAAATGAGCTTCCCAACCCAGGTTTCCTGCATTTCAGGTGGACTCTTTACCAGCTGAGCCAACAGGGAAGCCCAAGAATACCTGAGTGGGTAGCCTAGCCCTTCTCCAGTGGATCTTCCCTACCCAGGGATTGAACTGGGGTCTCCTGCATTGCAGGTGGATTCTTTACCAGCTGAGCTACAGGGAAGCCCTTCTTCCTACCCAGGGGCAATAAGTAGATAGTCATATACATGTAGTATTTCATATACAAATATGAAAGTACAGAAAAACAGTGCCATTAATTTTGGTGAAGAAATCAAACATAAGATTCTTATAATAAATATAGTTTCAAACTTCTGAATTAATTTTTTTCCTAAGTTTCCTCTTTTCATAGGAAAACAACTGCCCTACCTGCATAAGATCCTTGATTCTCAATAAAAGTTTAATTTTTTAAATTCTGTATTAGCATAAATTTCCTGATTTTAGGTATGACAATTTCCTTTACACTCTAAGGAAAATAGAGTGGAAAGAAGCTGTTGCATTTGACTGGCACCACTGTCTACTATATTTTATCAGAATACTTTATATTTTATATATATTTGCATGTTTGTATTACTGAAGTATAGCTGTATACACTCTTAATTGCTGAAGGAATATGTCTTGTCTGTGAGCCCTCATGCTGCATAAAGTTTAGCATGTCATTATTACTTTCTATTGACTCTCTTTAAAAGTGAAAACTAAAAGTGGAAGAGCATATACAGAAAAGTAAACTAGGAGAAAGAAGATTCTATTAATAACAAGACTCTGAGTGTATCTATGATTCTAAAGGTATAGCTTCCATATAGTGTGCCTTGGTGTCCCATGGCACCATAGGGCACTCACAACTGTAAGATTTTTTAAACTTTTGAGAGACTATAAGGACACTATAAGATACTAGAGTTTCTTTGATGACTCAGTGATAAAAAATCTGCCTGCCAACGAAGGAGACACTAGTTCAATCCCTGAGTCAGGAAGATCCTTTGGAGAAGTAAATGGCAACCCACTCCAGTGTTCTTTCCTGGGAAATCCCATGAACCTGAGGAGCCTTGCAGGCCATAGACTGTGGGATCACAAAAGATTCAGACAGGACTTAGTGACTAAACAAACAAGGATATATAACATCAGTAAGATACCCAGCTACTAACAGTTTGAAGCAGTTTACAATGTTAATATTAGATCATGCTACAACCTTTCAGTGACCTCTTATCTTTGCAAAGCTAAGTTTTTGGCAGTGACCCTGTTAAAAAAACAAGCACTGAATTAAAATTAATGTGGCACAGGAAGTAAGATTGGCATGATCCAATCTCATTTCAAAGTTTGAGAAATTATGCAGTGTACAACAGGTACACACAACCCTACAGTTATTTAAGAATGAAATAAATATATTTTCTTTCAATTTATTTGTATAATTTAAAAAATTAAGCTACTATAAGTCATTAAGGCAAAAATTCTTCTTAAGCTGCTTTGGGCTTAAAAGTTAATAAAAGAAACTATGAAATATTTCTTTCAGCCTAGAGTAATCATGAAAAATTACTTATACACTACAGGTACAGTAAAAAATCTTTTCCTAAATTCATACAATATGGTCAATTAAGCTATGACAAAGGAGGTAAGAAGACAGGTAAGAAGACAGTTTCATCAATAAGTGGTCTTGGAAAAACTCAACAGCTACATGGAAAAGAATGAAAATATAATATTTTCTCACACCTTATACAAAAAGTAAACTCAAAATGGATTAATGACCTAAATATATGACCTGAAACCATAAAACATCCAGAAGAAAGCATAGGCAGTATGCTTTTTTACATTGGTCTTAGCAATTTTTTGGATATATTTCCTCAGACAAGTGAAACAAAAGCAAAAATAAACAAATGGGACCTAATCAAACTTAAAAGCTTTTGCAAAGCAAAGGAAACCGTCCACCAAACAAAAAAACAGCATACTAAATGGGAGAAACTATTGGTAAATGATACATCTGATAAAGGGTCAATATCCAAAGTATTAAAAAAAAACCTAATACAACTCAATATCAAAAAGACAACCCAATTAAAAAATGGGCAGAGGACTTGAACAGATGTTTTTCCAAAAGAAATACAAATGGCCAACAGATGCATGAAAAGATGCTCAACATCACTAATCATGAGGGAAATGCAAATCAAAACCACAATGAGATATATCACACCTGCCAGAATAGCTACTGTCAAAAAGACAGCAAATAACAAGCATTGGTGAGTATGTGAAGAAATGGGAACCCTCATGCACTATTGATAGAAATAAAAATTGGTATAGCCATTCTGGAAAACAGTATGGAGGTTCCTCAAAAATTAAAAATAATTACCAATTATACCATGTATATTTATCTGAAGAAAATGAAAACACCATTTCAAAAGATACATGCACCCCAGCATTCATTGAAGCACTGTTTACAATAGCTAAGATATGGAAACAGCATAAATCCATCCACAGATAAATGGATAAAGAAGATGTGCTATATACATGCAATGGAATCTTAATCATAAAAAAGAATGAAATTTTGCCATTTATGTCAATATACATGAACCTGGAGGATATTAGGCTTAGTGAAATAAGAAATATAAATACTGTATATTTTCATTTATATGTGGAATCTAAAAAATAAATGAACAAATATAACCAAACAGAAACAGATTCATAGATACAGAGAACAAACTAGTCGTTACCAGAAGGTGGTTATGATGAGAAGTGCAATAGAGGTAATGGAGATTAAGATGTACAGACTACTAGATATAAAATAATAAATTATGAGGATGTAATATACAGCAAAGAGAATACAGTAAATAGTAACTTTATATGGAGTATATTCTATAAAATTGTCACATTACTGTGAAAGTGAAAGTCGCTCAGTCGTGTCTGACTCTTAGTATATAGAGTATAGTCCATGGAATTCTCCAGGCCAGAATACTGGAGTGGGTAGCCTTTCCCTTCTCCAGGGGATCTCCCCAACCCAGGATCAAACCCAGATCTCCCACACTGCAGGTGGATTCTTTACAAGATGAGTGACAAGGGAAGCCCAAGAGTACTGGAGTGGGTAGCCTATCCCTTCTCCAGAGGATCTTCCCGACCCAGGAATTGAAACAGGATCCCCTGCATTGCAGGCAGATTCTTTACAGATGGAGCAGTGTGCACCTGATACTAATATAATATTGTAAGTCAACTACAATTGAAAAAATTCATTTCCTTCAATAGTGACTAGTTTGCAATTTTTTTAATTTTATTTTTAATTTATTTTTTAAATGTACTCATTTTTATATTTCTTTATAATCTGCTTTGTTCTAGAAAGGATTTAAAAGGGTTTTATGAGGGATACACAAAATACTAGATGACAGCATAAACTAAGATATAAATGGGCCACCAATTTAACTCATAGTGGTTTCCATAAGAATGTAGTCCTGAACCACTGATGTAGTGTTTATAATGAATAATGTCTGAAACTACATTCTTATGGAAGCCATAAAAACTTCATAGAGATGATTGTTATGTAAATCTTCCATTTATGCTGACCATCATACCAAAGTAGTGTAATTCAACAAGGCCATTTTTCTCATAGGGAAGAGTGTTCATGTTTGTAATATTCCAAGTTCTAGTCAGTTCAGTTCAGTCACTCAATCGTGTCCGACTCTTTGCGACCCCATGAATCACAGCATGCCAGGGCTCCCTGTCCATCACAAACTCCTGGAGTTTACTCAAACACGTGTCCATCGAGTTGGTGATTCCATCCAGCCATCTCATCCTCTGTTGTCCCCTTCTCCTCCTGCCTCCAATCCCTCCCAGCATCAGGGTCTTTTCCAATGAGTCAGCTCTTCTCATGAGGTGGCCAAAGTATTGGAGTTTCAGCTTCAGCATCAATCCTTCCAATGAGCCCCCAGGACTGATCTGCTTTAGGATGGACTGGTTGGATCTCTTTGCAGTCCAAGGGGCTCTCAACAGTCTTCTCCAACACTACAGTTCAAAAGCATCAATTCTTCAGCGCTCAGCTTTCTTCACAGCCCAACTCTTACATCCATATGTGACCACTGGAAAAACCGTAGCCTTGACCAGATGGACCTTGTTGGCAAAGTAACGTCTCTGCTTTTTAATATGCTATCTATGTTGGTCATAACTTTCCTTCCAAGGAGTAAGCATCTTTTAATTTCATGGCTGCAATCACCATCTGCAGTGATTTTGGAGCCCAAAAAAATAAAGTCTGACACTGTTTCCACTGTTTCCCCATCTATTTCCCATGAAGTGATGGGACCAGACGCCATGATCTAGTTTTCTGAATGTTGAGCTTTAAGCCAATTTTTTCACTCCTTCTTTCACTTTCATCAAGAGGCTTCTTAGTTCCTCTTCACTTTCTGCCATAAGGGTGGTGTCATCTGCATATCTGAGATTATTGATATTTCCCGGCAATCTTGATTCCAGATTGTGCCTCATCTAGCCCAGCATTTCTCATGATGTACTCTGCATAGAAGTTAAATAAGCAGGGTGACAATATACAGCCTTGACATACTCCTTTTCCTATTTGGAACCAGTCTGTTGTTCCACTTCCAGTTCTAACTGTTGCTTCCTGACCTGCATATAGGTTTCTCAAGAGGCAGGTCAGATGGTCTGGTATGCCAGTCTCTTTCAGAATTTTCCACAGTTTATTGTGATCCACACAGTCAAAGGCTTTGGCATAGTCAATAAAGCAGAAATATATGTTTTTCTGAAACTTTCTTGCTTTTTTGATGATCCAGTGAATGTTGGCAATTTGATCTCTGGTTCCTCTCCCTTTTCTAAAACCAGCTTGAACATCTGGATTGAACCCAGGTCTCCTGCATTACAGGCAGATTTTTTATCATCTGAGCCGCCAGGGAAGCCCTTTCCCTGAATGGATAATCCCAAGTTCTAGTAGTTCCTGTCTAATAGAGCAATTGATGAATTATCCATTAGTCTTTTCATTTGATTTTTTGATGTTTTTAAATCAACATAATCTTAATATGTTTCTGCATGTGAAAAAAATCAAAAATCATTTTGCCCAAATAATACGATCATTTAAAATATTGTTTTCAGACATTTGCAATATAAATGGAATGAGAAACAAAAGTTGTGCTATGTATCTCAAGGAGATGCCAGCTTTACATATGGCTATGAGTACTTGGGCTGTACCCCAAGACTGGTGATTACACCTCTCACTGACAGATGCTGGCTAACTCTCACCGGAGCACTACACTTGAACTTAGGAGGTTGCCCTGCTGGTCCAGCTGGTACAGGAAAAACTGAGAGTGTTAAAGATCTAGCAAAAGTAAGTGGTTTCTATATCTAGAATAAAAACTTTTTTTTTAGTCACACAAACTTTAAAAGTTATCTTAAGTTTACACCTTTCCTGTTGTTAAAGTATTCATAATATTTAGCAAACACATTAACACATTCGTTAATTCATATATCATCATTTAATTTTGAATGTTTAATGTGTGCTGGGACTTAGGATCTTGGTAAGTCAACATAGTTGACTTGGACTATAATAACGAACTAACATCTATGTAAATGGTAGCTTGTCCCCCCTTCCTTTCCTGTAGAAGTGATTCATTTGTTTTGAGCTCCATACACAGATTTTTGCCTAGTCTTTGTGATTAACAGAAGTGTGTGTGTGTGTGTGTGTGTGTGTGTGTGTATAAGAAAAAGAGACAAAGAAGCAACTGATGAAAGCAAAGGGTATAGTTTATGATATTGCTGAAATGTTTTTTCTTAGTTTATTTGTTTATGTGTTTAAAAATAGGACCTTAAGCCTCCATGCACTAATCAACTAAACTATAACAGTATATGTGCGTTAATCCTATACTGAGTCTTGTGGATTTCTAAATTTGGTATAAACACCTTTATATTGTAAAAATTTTCTTGAAAGAATAAGATATTTTATTACTCTTGATGTTTTAAAATTAGTATTTTGTGTCATAATTCAATAAAATATTAAAATATCATTTTTGTTTCCCAGTCCTTAGGCAAACATTGTGTAGTCTTCAACTGTTTTGAGAATTTGGATTATAAGGTAAAGCTTATTCTTATATACTCAGAAAAAAACTATTGTACACATAAAAGAAATAATTCATTGAGGATTAAAAGAATAAGAAAAATATCTTAGACATTAAGTACTAATATAACTATAAATGCTATTCTTTTAAACTAACAGAAGAGAAATTTTAAATGTAATTGAAACTTAAAACATTACACAGCTTACCTTTATTCAGCTGAACCTCTTCTTAAGACAGAGATTTTCCAATGTTTTGACAGGGAGGATCTTTTCAAACAAAATTGGTATGAAACATGATTATATAAAAAATTAAGAGTACTGCTTCAGTAATACAAATTTACATATTCTAACCTATACTTTTATTTACTGAAAATAAAGAACAATGAGGCTACTATGAGTAACACAAAAATTTGAGTCAGAGGTTATATAAGTGATTACAAGTTTATGTCAGACTTATTTTGTTTTGGTTGCATACTATCTAAGATATATCTCATAGCATTCTTAAATATTTATAAAAATGTCACATACATCTGTGCCTATCACAAATTTCCTTAGTTTCAAAACACCCCAATTTATTTCATTTTTCAACTTAAGCCCAAACCTTTTACATTTTGCTGAGATCCTACATTTCCATTATGCATTCACCGGCACATTAAATATATCAATAAATATAAATAAGCTGATTGAGCTATTATTCTTAAAACACTTACCAAATAGCCTCTCTGTCCTCCCTGGAAACTACCTTTACTGGGGCTCTGCAGGAGTGGGACTAGGGTAAGGTGAGTGACGCTCTTACCTGCTAAGCAAAGTTCAATGAGGAGCCAAAATGCTTGGTCATCAAGATAAATAGTATTTTAGTGCAATGTATTTTTTAAAGAATCAAGGTAAATGCCCCCCCAAAAGTGTGATAAACAGAATATCAAAGTTTTAGATAAAGACAGGATCTGATTGCTGCAGTCAGTGGGAGGAACCAACTTTTTCAGGCTTCTGAGTCAGAGGGGCTCTCTCCGATTCTCACATCTTGCCCCGTTGCAGCACCTAACAAAAGCTCCTCTTAGAGTTCGAGCATTCCTCAGCAGGTGTTCAGTCCACAGACACTTTATCTGGCTTGTTTCACTTTATAACATTTACAGATCAACAGATTTCAACACAGATTTTCAATCTTTTACAAGGACACTGGAGGATCTAGCCACCCTGGGCCTGCCCATTGTAAATGGCAGAAGCAGAGTTAAGAGCTGCTTGCGTTTGCTGTCCCTACTCCAGTCTGGCCCCAATCTTCCACTCGACTTACATTATTAGTTCAGAAATCTGTATTACTGAGTTCCCTGGTGGCTCAGCAGTAAAGGATCCATCCAAATCCCATAGACAGAGGAGCCTGGCAAGCTACAGACCATGGAGTTGCAAGAGAGTTAGACACGACTTAATGACTAAACATCAACTGTCTGCATTACTACCAGGCATTGACCACTAAACCTTGAGTCTTGGCCAAACCTAAAAAGGGAAACTCTTCCAACCATCTGCCGGAAAACTGTACTGAAGACTTTTACTGCCAGTGCGTGGTTCTGAGAACATGGCATCCAGGCGATTGCTCAGTTACGCGAATGTGAATTGTGCTTCTACTTTCTCACTCTTTTTGTGCTTCTACTTTCTCACTCTTGTGAGCATCAGTTTGCTGCTGCTGTGTTTAAACTTTTAGGGCTTTCCCGGTGGCTCAGCAGTAAAGAATCTGCCTGCAATATAGAAGACTAGGGTTCCGTCCCTCATTTGGGAAGGTCCCCTGGGGAGGAAATGGTAACCCACTCCAGTATTCTTGCCTGGCTGGCTACAGCCCATAGGGTCATAGTCAGACAAGACTGAAGCAACTTAGCATGCACACAAGTTAAGACTTTTATAGGAGACAGCAGAGTAGTTGAGTGGTCTTAGAGCCTAAATATTACTGCTTTCAGCCCTACAAAAACGCTTGAGAGGGAGACGTGCAAACAGTGTTTGCTTGGTTTGGGTAAAATGGGAAGAACTTGCAGAAATTAATGTCCCAGTAAAAATGCTCACCTAAATAATAATTTCATTAATCATTTTTTTAAGATAATGGGGAAATTCTTCTTTGGACTGGTTGAGACAGGAGCTTGGTGTTGTTTCGATGAATTCAATCGAATTGATGTGGAAGTTCTCTCTGTGATTGCCTCACAGATGCTAACAATTAAGGCAGCAAAAGACAGCTATTCTGTCAGGTATTTGCTAAATGTGCTTATACTTTGGGAATGGAAATTTGATGTACACTTACTGCTTAATTATAATTTAATATTTTTTCTACCAAAAGTGTTTGGGTTTGTTTCTTTTGTTTTCCTAAGCACACACCAAAAGGAATGGCACTTAACTTGAATGTTTCCTTTGTTTGGAAAATAATATGAAAATATGAGTAGTTAGCTTGCAGACCCTTTCCCAAGCTTGGAACAGTAGCCTTGGCTAGCAGGAAAAGGAAGCAAATATGTTCTAATTACTTTTCTTTTTGAGTTTAAATTCTCTTAGTACCTATTCATTTGATGATATTTCATTTGAAGAAATCAAAGGGTTTTTTCTTTAATTCTACATATTAAAAAAAAAAAAACAAGGTTATACTGACCACACACAGGAATCCTGTCATTCCATTACTCTGGATTAATATACTTTTATTTAAAAAATCCTTTAATAACAATATTTGTATGTTAGGATTACTAATGTATACTAATCCAAGCAAAATTTTTTTCTTTTCAGATAAATTTAGGAACTTACATGATTTACCTTTTTGAGCATACTTGGATTCGTGGGTTTAAAATTTCAATTGCAATCTAATAATTCTAACTCAAGCTAATGGGCACTCACTTCTGGCATTACTCTCAATGTTATGAGGCTTCACAAGTCTGTGGATATAACTAGGATTACAATAATTCACACTTCACCAATTCTTCACCACATCTCAGCTTCTGCAAAGTTTTCCTCATTTGTGTCTAGATAGTCCTTAGGTTTCGTCCCAGTTGTTCTTCCATTCCTGTTTGACCACCTTTATCAGTTCAGCTGTCCATAAAATCACTAGGGGATTTCTCTCCATTGTCTCTTCTTCTGGTGCCAGAGGCATGACACTATTCATGCCGAGGTTCTACTTCACGGTGTCCCCGGAATTATTTAATTGGGTGTTGGGAAGTGGGCTGTGTTTCATTTTAAAGCAAGAACTCTACTGAGGCCACTCTGGGTTCCACTGTGTCATCCAGGCAGAACTTTATGTCTCCTCAGATCCTCTTCTGTGTGTAAGTCAGTTCATTTAGATGGGTACCCTCTTGCCTTGAGCCCCACAAAACTCTCCAGACATCATCAGACGTGATCAAATAAGTCTGAATCCCAGCAGAGCTCATGATTTAGCATAAAAAACCTCTTCTTTCCCTTCCTACAGTGTTTTTTTCCAGCATGTTGTGTTTGGATTTAATTGTAACACAGTCTCAGGAAGTTTTGCAAACTCCTTTGTAGTTTTAAGATATTTTGGCTTACAGAAAGCAGTTGTCTTAATGATGAATACTGTAATATCTTGTAGGTTTGTACTGGAAGGAAAAGAAATTCGTATAAATATGTCTTGTGCAGTATTTGTCACCCTAAATCCTGGGTAAGTACCAGTTACATCTGTGGTAGGAGTTCAGTGCAGTCGCTCAATCATGTCCAATTCTTCATGACCCCATGGACTACAGCACACCAGGCTTCCCTGTCCATCACCGACTCCCGGAGCTTACTCAAACTTATGTCCATCGAATCAGTGATGCCATCCAACCATCTCATCCTCTGTCGTCCTCTTCTACTCCTGCCTTCAATCTTTCCCAGCATCAGGGTCTTTTCTAATGAGTCAGTTCTTTGCATCAGGTGCCAAAGTAGTAGGAATGGACCAGGCAAAAATCCTGTTTTTTAATCTTATCTATAGACAGAGTTGACTGACACTGTATATCCATCACTCACCCTCCACCATGCCTCTGAACCCCTCCACTGCCCACACCATTTATAAGCACTACAGCTCTGTATTTGTCCATATGGATGATATCACACTAAGCTTCTGACCAAGGGAACTTTCCTCTTTATAATAGCCAGAGAGAAATGAAAAGGTTGGTACTCTGTCACAAAGAGGACATAGGCAGAAAAGCTAATGAAAGTAGCATGAGTAACATGGTAGTTTACAGGGAGTGGAGACTGGGCAGACTCAACAGAATGTTGATGGAATCAGGGAACTGATGTGAGGTAAACTGTGGGAGGAGGCACAGGAAGAAAACGTACGCTAGCAAGCTCTGTGAGTTAAAAGCACAGTAGAAACCATCTTGTAAACTTTTTGTTTTCAGATAAAGGTCACATAGAAAGACAATAGAATTACTATTTGGGAGAAATTTATGTGGCTCTCATTTGAAAAACTGAAGTATGATGTTTTCTGTTTCTTTGTTTTTCTTATCCTCTTAAGATACAAAGGTCGAGTGGAACTCCCAGATAACTTAAAATCTCTGTTTCGCCCAGTGGCAATGATGGCTCCCCATTATCAAATGATTGCTGAAGTAATGCTGTTTTCTGTTGGTTTCAAATCTGCAAAATTACTTTCTGGAAAGCTAGTTAACATTTATGAATTAGCTAGCAAGCAACTCTCGCAACAGGTAACAAACTGTTTTTATCAAAGTAAAGGTGATTACATGAAGCATTAAATGATAACTTTTCAGGTATTAATCCAAGAATGACCTGGAACTAAAATTCCTATCAGCATATCAAGTCCATGCAACTTGTGTATAAGGCAATATGTAAATCAAAGTTCTAAACTTTCCTTGGGATCTGATCTGGAGAGAGCAGTCAAGTAGCTCTAATTTTAAATTATAGGCTACCTTCTCCATGCAAGGAAGATTACATCTAGAGCAGTTGTTTTCAAACTTTATAGTGCATCAGAATAATTTGCAGGACTTTTTAAAACATAAATTGCTGGACCTTACCACCAACTTTCTAATTGTCTGAGGTGGGGCTTGAGGGTTTACATTTCTAACAAGTTTTCAAGTGTTCATGATGCTGCTAGTCTGAATACCCCACTATGAAAATTTTTGTTCTAGGACATGCCAACTTTATGCTTATTTATAACCCAGAATGGTTTGGGCAGCTAACCAGATTATCTCCAAAGCGTTCATTTTTATAATATATTCTTTAAATCCAGCTCTCCATTTTAGAGAAAACTTAACTCAGATAATGATTTTTTAACTCCTTTGAAACTTGTTAATCTTTTTTTTTTTTTCCTTTGAGAAGGAGACTTTTAGAAGGACGAGTTTGGGAAAGAAGTGAGAACATTAGAACCAAAACTGAGGGTTTCTTGAATTCATAACACCATTTCTCTTCATAGCATAGATGAACAGTGATTTAACAGTATACTATATGCATTTATTTCCAAGTTGTTCATTTTTTCCCAGAAACTTAATAACTAAAATATTTTAATATTTGATAGGACCATTACGATTTTGGCCTGAGGTCTCTGAAGACAGTTTTAGTGATGGCTGAGAAGAAGAAACGGGAGCTTAAATGGTCAGTTGAATTTTGAATTGAGTGTAGATCAAAAGGGAGTTACACAATACTGGGAAAATACTGTGTGAAATTTTAAGTAATGACAACAAGATAAAATAATTCTGAGCTCCCAGACTCGCAATCTAGAAGCCATAAAAGAAATAATTTATAATAGTCAAAAATTACTTTTTGTGAAGTCAAAAAACAAATGAAAAACTAGAGTAAAGATATATGCAGCTCCTGTTGCAGTTAAATAACTCATCCTGTTAGTATATAAAGATTTCTAGAAAACTAGGGGAAAAACAGTCATATAGAAAAATGGACAAAGGAAATCAACAGCCAGTTCTCAGAAAAAAGAGACATAAAAGTCCTTTAAATATATGAAAATACACTCAACCCCACCCATAATGAGAAAAATGCACATTACAGTTACACTGAAAATTGTTTCTCACTTATCAGATGGGCAAAAATTTTTAAGTTTTCAGAACTTTGTACTGGTGAGACCAAATGGAAGCAGGCATTCCTTTTCGTTATTGGCAAGGTGTGTACTTTTTGTATTGGCTTGATTTGGGACTATATTCATGTATCACCTATTAAATTTTTTTTAAATATGTTACAAAAGGACATATCAATATACTATTTACATGAAAATTTTAAACAATGTTATGGATTGTTTACAGGTACAGTAAAAAGTACAAAATGTTTCATGGGAGGAGAACACTATAGGGATAGGCTCTAGCTCTATTGTAATATTTTACTTCCTAAATAAAAGAACTGTAGTATATCTTGCAAAATGGCCTGTATAGTATAGATGGAATGTAAATAGGTGTCTATTATGAAATGTCTTATAATTTTATAAAATTAAAGATAAACAGTACCAAGTATCAGCTCCCTGATGTCTTCATGTCCTTAGTTGTGTTTTGTTTTGTTTTTTTTTGCCACACCATGCAGCCTGTGTAATCTCAGTTCCCTGACCAGGGATTAAACCCAGGCCACAGCAGTAAAAGCCCAGAATCCTAAACACTAGGACAGAGAACTCTCAAGTCCTCAGTCTTTATTATATTCACTTAATTCTGTGTGTGAATAAATATTCCAGGGATAGTGGTACTCTTCTCATTTCAAAGTCCTTCATTGTTCTCTGCAAATCACAGAAAAGTAAAAGTTCTCACCGCCGCCTGCTATTGGAGTTTCCATTTCCAGTGTCCTCTCTGTCTGTCTCCTGCCACTGAAAGGAGCTCTCTTCTCTCTGTTGCAAGGGTAGCAGCCATCCTTCTTCCAAAGCTTCACACACATGATGTGATTAAGTGAAGCTGACTCTGTTATGAAAAGGACTGGGGAATTTTTTTTATTCTTTTGTCAGAGGAAAGCACAGTGAACAATTTAAAAATGAATATTAAGAGGGAAGAACTAAGATGGCGGAGGAATAGGATGGGGAAAACACTTTCTCCCCTACAAATTCATCAAAAGAACATTTGAACGCTGAGCAAACTCCACAAAACAACTTCTGATTGCTAGCAGAGGACATCAGGTGCCCAGAAAAGCAGCCTATTGTCTTCAAAAGGAAGTAGGACAAAATAGATAAAAAGAGAGACAAAAGAGCTAGGGACGGAGAGCCGTCCCGGGAAGGGAGGCGTAATAGAGGAAGTTTCCAAATACCAGGAAACCCTCTCACTGGCGGGTCTCGGAGAAGTTTTCGAATCTCAGAGGGCAACCTAACTGGGAGGAAAAATAAATAAAACCCACATATTACATACCTAAAAGCAACTCCCAGTAGAAAAGTGCCCCAGACGCTCATATCTGCCACCAGCAAGTGGGGGCTGAATGGAGAGGAGCGGGCGGCATTGCTTAGGGTAAGGACCGGGCCTGAATGCCCTGAGGGCAATCGGAGGGAGCTATCATGAGATAGCAACTTAAACTGTGGGACAGCAAGAGAGAGAGAGGAAGTTAACTGGTGGAAACCGCCAACTGAACACACTTTGCCAGCCCGTTCGCAGAACAAAGGAAGGACTGAGCAATTCCAGAGAAGAGCTAGCCAGCTGTGAACCGACCCATCCCCGGCAGGAGGCAAGGGGTAGGGGAAAGGGGCAAACTCAGCCCCAGAGAGGGCACCCCGTACCAAACTGCAAACAGGCTCCCAGTTTCTAACCAAAGACTTCCTGAGATTCTGGATGGTTGACATTTGCCGGGAGGGTCGCGGCTAGAGACCAGCTCCCCAGAACAGTCACAAGGTGCACCCAACCGGCGTGCACAGAAACTGAGGCTGGGACCACGGAGGGGAGAAGGTGGACCGCACCCGGGGAGAGTGCGCTTGTCAAGCTCCTGGCTGCCTGAGCTGCTCGGGCGGGGAAGGCACAAAACGCAGGCCCAACCGAGTCTGTGCTTTTGTGGAGTACCCAAAAACTGGAACCTGAGCGGCTTAGGCCTGGGAAGTGCACGCAACTCAGGGCCCGCTCTCTATAGAGCAGCCTGGAGCCTGAGCAGTGTAGACGGGGAAAGCACACACGCCAGAGCAGGGGCAAACCCAGCGTGGCCGGAATAGTGCGAGTGCTCCCCACACATGCCAGTGACATTTGTCTACAGTGCACCTTCCTCCCCACAGCACGACTGAACAAGCGAACCTAAACAAGAGACCACTTCTGCCCGCGTGTGTCAGGGTGGAAATTAGACACTGAGGAGACCGGCAAACAGAAGCCAAAGAAACAAAGGGAACTGCTCCAGAAGTGACAGGTGCAACAGATTAAAATCCCTGTAGTTAACACCAACTACACTGGAAGGGGCCTATAGATATTGAGAAGTGTAAGCTGGAACAAGGAGCTATCTGAAACTGAACCGAACCCACACTGACCACAACAGCTCCAGAGAAATTCCTAGATATATTTTTTACTATTTTTTTAATTGAAAAAATTTTTTTTCTTTTCTTTTCTTTTAAAATTCCCTATTACTCCTCTATTACTCCTTAATTTTCATTTTCATATATTTTTGCTATTTTTTTAATTAAAAAATTTTTTTCTTTATGTTTTTCTTTTATTTTAAAGTCCTCTATTACTCCTTAATTTTCATTTTCATTTCACTATAAACTTGCAAAAAAAAAAGAAAAGAAAAGACCCTATTTTTAAAGTGAACTTCATATATATTTCTTAAATTTTTTGTGTTTTTGTTTTTGTTTTCAATATTGTATTTTTAAGAGTCTAACCTCTACTCTAGATTTTTAATCTTTGTTTCTCAGTATTTTATATCAATTTTAGACATTTAAGAATCCAATATTCACTACCCATTTTTACTCAGGAGTGTGATGATTACTCTCTTCCCCTTTTGACTCTCTTTTTTCTTCCCCAGATCACCTCTATTTCCTCCCTCCCTCTTCTCTTCTTAATCCAATTCTGTGAATCTCTGTGGGTGTTCTGGGCTACGGAGAACACTTAAGGAACAGAGTACTGTGTAGATTTGTCTCTCTCCTCTTGAGTCCCCCCTTTTCTCCTCCTGCTCACCTCTATCTCCTTCCTCCCTCTCCTCTTCTTCATGTAACTCTGTGAAACTCTGTGGGTGTCCCTCACTGTGGAGAATCTTTTCACCATTAACCGAGAAGTTTTATTATCAGTGCTATATAGTTGGAGAAGTCTTGAGGCTACTGGAAGAATGACACTGAAATCCAGAGGCAGGAGACTTAAGCCCCAAAACTAGAACACCAGAAAACTCCTGACTACAGGGAACATTAAGTAATAAGAGATCATCCAAAAGCCTCCATACCTACACTGAAACCAACCACCACCCAAGATACAATAAGTTCCAGAGCAAGACATACCATGCAAATTCTCCAGTGACGCAGGAACATAGCCCTTAGCATCAACATAAAGGTTGCCCAAAGTCACACCAAACACTTAGACCCATCTCAAAACTCACCACTGGACACTCCATTGCACTCCAGAGAGAAGAAATCCAGTTCCATGCACCAGAACACCGATGCAAGCTTCCCTAACCAGGAAACCTTGACAAGGCAATCGTCCAACCGCATCCACTGGGAGAAACCTCCACAATAAAAAGGAACCACAGACCACCAGAATACAGAAAGGCCACTCCAAACACAGCAATCTAAACAAGATGAAAAGGCAGAGAAATACGCAGCAGGTAAAGGAACATGAAAAATGCCCACCAAGCCAAACAAAAGAGGAGGAGATAGGGAATCTACCTGAAAAAGAATTTAGAATAATGGTAATAAAAATGATCAAAATCTTGAAAACAAAATGGAGTTACAGATAAATAGCCTGGAGACAAGGATTGAGAAGATGCAAGAAATGTTTAACAAGGACCTAGAAGAAATAAAAAAGAGTCAATTAAAAATGAATAATGCAATAAATGAGATCAAAAACACTGGCAGGAACCAACAGTAGAATAACGGAGGCAGAAGATAGGATAAGTGAGGTAGAAGATAAAATGGTGGAAATAAATGAAGCAAGGGGGAAAAAAAGAAAAAGAATCAAAAGAAATGAGGACAACCTCAGGGACCTCTGGGACAATGTGAAATGCCCCAACATACGAATTGTAGGAGTCCCAGAAGAAGAAGAAGACAAAAAGAAAGGCTATGAGAAAATACTCAAGGAGATAATAGCTGAAAATTTCCCTAAAATGGGGAAGGAAATAGTTACACAAGTCCAAGAAACCCAGAGAGTCCCAAACAGGATAAACCCACAAGGCAAAACACACCAAGACACATATTAATCAAATTAACATAGATCAAACACAAAGAACAAATATTAAAAGCAGCAAGGGAAAAACAACAAATAACACACAAAGGGATTCCCATAAGGATAACAGCTGATATATCAATAGAAACTCTTCAGGCCAAAAGGGAATGGCAGGACATACTAAAGTAATAAAAGAGAATAACCTACAACCCAGATTACTGTACCCAGCAAGGATCTCATGCAAATATGAAGGAGAATTCAAAAGCTTTACAGATAAGCAAAAGCTGAGAGAATTCAGCACCACCAAACCAGCTCTTCTACAAATGCTAAAGGATCTTC